TATGTAGATATAAGTGTATGTGTGTGAGCACTGTCTATATGTACTCTCTCTCTCCCTGTCTCTCTCTCTGTATATATACATGTGTGTCTCTGTGTTTGTGTGCGTTCATGTACAGTACAAACCCGTTTATGCGCGAATCCGCTTAACACGCGGTGGTGCCGTGGTGCCCAATGCCACCTATTTAACACGCAAGACTTGTTAACATGCGAGACATGCTAATACATGGCACAGGAACTTGCTACGTAGTGCTACAGATTTGCTCACTAACTCACTGACATAGAAATCGACAGGAAGTGCGGAGCGGAAATGTGTTGTACGTCTTTACCAATATTCGTAAAGACAGATCACGCACACTTAGTCATTGTCACACTAGAGGGCAGAAGGCAAGCGTCAGCGTTCCTGCACTGTAAAAGAAAAGCTAGCTGCAATAGAGCAAGTAAATAGCGGAGAAACCCAGGCCAAAGTTTCAAAAGATATTGGGATCGCCGAATCTACTCTCCGAGGATGGCTATAACAGAATCTAAACTGAATGGCTTTGTACAAAATATCGATTCTTCCGCAGAGCTTAAGCGAAAACGTGTGCGCTATTCAGCAAAACCCACAATAGACAAAGCCATGTGCACGTGGTTTGCTCAGGAAAGACTGAAAGGAATGCCGCTAAGTGGGCCAATTCTTCAAGCCCAAGAGACAAAATTTGGAAATTTAACAGGGAATGAATCATTCCAAGCCAGCAAGGGGTTTATAAGTCATTTTTAAAAGTGTCATGGCCTAGCACAGGTATCGATTTCTTTTGGCATGAGCTGATTACAATCCTGCATCTCCAGTGGAGTGTATCTTGATTCCTGATCACAATTGCTCTTCCTAATTTGAAAAACATATGGGAATAAAAAGTGAGTTTTATTCCTATTTGAAGTTTACAGTTTCTATGATTCTCAGGCATGTCTAGAAACCAAGGATTCTGCTGCGTTTGGACCAATCCAAGCACATAGTAGGTGCTATTGTAACACAAAGACAAACACAATCGATTCAGCATTTCTCAAAGACTGAACACTTGCTTTCATGCTAAGATCTGGCTTTGTGGTAACTGCATTGTCTTGAAGGGATCAGTAACTAACATCACCTGGTCTGCTCTGTTCTCACACCAGAACCCCCTTCTGACAACAAAAATTACTACACAACCCCAGGACGGGGGATCAAAGTCTGAGCCCATCAGAGCCCCAGGCAGTGAGGCTTGGGCTTTGGTCCCGGGCAACAGGAAGTCTAAGCCAGCCTTGGTGACCCCATTAAAATGGGGTTGTGACCCACTTTGAGGTCTCATCCACAATTTGAGATCCACAGCTCTAGAGGGTATCGTACTGTGCTCATCACCGGGGTATCTGGACGCCTTGCGGTCATCACTGAAAAAGCAAAGTCATCCAGGACCGGCCTTAGCCACGGGTGACCAGGGCTGTGATGGATTCGGTCACAGACACCCCCTTGGGACTGTCACCTGATGTGCTCACACTACCTCAGAGTCCATTGTCCTGGCCAGGTTGGGACTGAAAAAATCTGCCTTGTTGAGCCAAACATGCTAGCCTGCGGCAACACAGACCCAGGGTCTGAACCATGCCCCCAAAGCTGCAGACTTAAATGAAAATGGCTGAGCACGTGCTCCTGTCTCCATACCCAGACACCCAGCTCCCAATGGGATCCAAACCCCAAATAAATCCGTTTTACTCTGTATAAAGCTTATAAAGTGTAAACTCATCAATTGTCTACTCTCTATAACACTGATAGAGAGATATGTTCCCCAGGTATAAATCACCAACTCTGGGTTAATTAATAAACAAAAGTGATTTTATTTAGTATAAAAAATAGGATTTAAATGGTTTCAAGTAATAACAGACAGAACAAATTAAGTTACCAAGCAAAATAAAATTAAACACTCAAGTCTAAGCCTAATACATCAAGAAACTGAATACAGGTAAAACTCACCCTCAGCTATGTTCCAATAAGCTTTCACAGACTAGACTCCTTCCTAGTCTGGGCCCAATCCTTTCCCCTGGTTCAATTCTTGTTAGCTCCAGCCCCCTTTGTTCTGTTCCACCCTCTTTTATATCTTCGGCACAAGGCGGGAATCTTTTGTCTCTCTGTGTCCTCACCCCTCCTTCTAACTGGAAAAGCACCAGGTTAAGGGTGGATTCCAGTTCAGGTGACATGATCACATGTCCTCTGAGCCTCCCTCCATTCCTCAAGGACTGGCCCGCAAGTATGCAGTAGAGACTTGCAGGTAAACAGAGCCATCTAGAGTCAACTATC